AGTCCTGATTTGGCTCCTTCTGACTTCTTTTTGTTTCCTAATCTTAAAAAATCTTTAAAGGGCACCCATTTTTCTTCAGTTGATGATGCAAAAAAGACTGCATTGACATGGTTAAAGTCCCAGGACCCACAGTTCTTTCGGGATGGACTAAATGGCTGGTATCATCGCTTACAAAAGTGTCTTGAACTTGATGGAGCTTATGTTGAGAAATAAAGTTTATATCTTTCACTGTTATTTTTTAATGTCATTTTTCCATGAACTTTTTGAAGCCCCCTCGTATTTATGCACCACCCTGTATATCCTGTTTCAAGCTACCTTTTCAGAATGCACCGAGAACCAAAGGCACAGTAACCTGCCTTTAGATGCTTAAACTAAGACTGTGCACATGAGTGGTGAAGAGGGAAAACATATTTCCTTCTTCAGGAGGCTTATTTGCAGAGTAAAAGCAAGATGTAATGTCATGAAAGATTGAGAATAAAAGATAATGAAACCATTCACATCAGGATGGAGATTCTTTTGGATCCAACTGAGCATAGTGTTGTTGAATTTCTCAGTGTTGATGTAGCATATAAGGTATTAGACTGATAGGAACAGAGACATTCTACATTCCAGTCATAATGGAAATGTTAGAATAAATAATACCTGAATAAAAGTAAGAGGCTTGGAATCACTAAAGTCATGCCATTTTTTAAGCTTTGAAGGGAGCCCTTTTCTTGCCATATCATCCAATACTTTATAACGTAATATGGTAAAACTTAAGTCAGGGTTGCATACAACAGCTTTGCTGGACAACTTTAGGAGGAAATGCAGAGAAGCTTAGGCAAAAATTGCTGACTCTGGCTCCCACTCCTTCCTTAGGATAAGCTTGGTAACTTGATGAATCCTCATTCATTTTTAGGGAACAATAGGGATAAATGGCTCACTTCTGAACACATTTGGGATCTGCCAAATGGATGAGAAGGTCAGGATCTCGCAGAGCTGCTTTCGCAATTGGATCATGGGCTAGACCAGGTGTAGCTGCCAGGATGCTTACAAGTGAATCTGGTTGCGTCAGTTTCTAATACCAAAAAGAGGCAGAAAGCATTTCATAAGCCCAGTGAAAAAAAAATTAATTAAATAAATATATTTAAAAAATGCAAAACAAAACAAAACAACACCCTACAGAATGCTCAAACTGAAAAAATACAATATGGTCTTAAAGCACATCTGGTATTTCAGTCTCTCTGCAAAATCCTATATCCATACACAAAGGAAATGCCAAAAGTCGTGTCACCTCTTTCATTGCTCAATAAGATCAATAATAATTACTACATGCTCCAGTTACATGATAAATGTCATTGAAATATAAACAGATTGTTGGGCACCTGTAATGAACACCTGCAATGAAGGATCTAGCAGTCCTTCACATCATAATCTCTTACAATCTTTGCCTACTTGCCAAATCCTTGTATCCCAACATTTATTGAAAGGAAGCCTACAAATTGACTAGTATTGCCCAGCTTGATCACCAGTCATCATGTCCCATTCTACTTTCTTGTTTTAAAAGATGGTGAGAAATGATTCTCCACACGAATGATCTTGAGTGTCACCTGGAGAGTTTTCATGAAGCCCTGTTTAAGTGTAGCTGTTCGAAGAGCAAAAATGATGCGTTGGACTTCAGCATCATCAAAGGGCCGTGTTTCCACCTTCTCTTCTTGTTCTGTGTCCCTGTGTCTCCTTGGCAGAACATGGATCATGGAACCTTCATCAATGAACATCACCCACTCATCACCAATGACTGACAATGAATGACACCAATGAGCAGTGACCAGTGAGACGAAAAAACCCACTTACCATTGATGACTCCATAGTGACTCAGAATGTCCTCATTCTTCATGACCCTCCCACAGTAGATGAAATCTAAAGGAGCAAGACTTAATTACTACTGGCAAAAGAACAAAGAAATAATACATGAGGATTTCTTATGATGCAACTGCATCACTTACCAACAGAATCAGAGTCCTGAATGTTAAGTTCTGCACATGCATGTTTCCTTAATTTCTCAATCGTTTCATTGCTGCTGATACCTTCAAGCCTTTTCCTTTCTAAATTCCCTCCCAACTCGAGTCGATATCCCAGGGTTATGTTCAAAGTCATCTCTGAATAGAATGTTGTACCTATACATGCACAAACAGAAGACATATTTGAATGTGATTATGGTTTCTACCCATCAAAACATAAATGGATTCAGATTCCTGAATATATGTTTCTGGTAACATTAAGGAATCAGCTTTGTGCACGTAGATTTTCTTCATAGAGGCAACATCTTTCTCAAATGTACTTATCTCCCTCTTGCCGCATATTTAATTTTTAGTTTTTACCTTTAAGAGTTTTTTTTTTGCTCCTAGCATGCTTGGAAAACAAAAATTCAGAGGTCCTTTGCCAATAAATTTCTTTGATTTTCTTCATAATGTGACAGATAATTGTTGACTGTAGTGTGTGAAAGGTAAAAAATTGCAGTGAACTCAAACAGGGTAACTTACACAATGAAATTGAAATTCCTTTAAAAGTTTTAAATACATTTATTTACAGGCTTACTACTCAAGGGATTAAGTAATGTCAACTATATGCAAAAATTGAAAATGTATATCTTCATTTTATGATATTTTATATTAAAATTTGATTCTGGTGACATGTTTTCATTATTTAATGTGAATAAGATCCATTCAAAAATGATTATTGAATGCTGTCGCAAAAGGGTTAAGCATAATAGTAACTTAAGAGAGACAAGACTGAGACATTTAAGAGTATCACCTCAGCAAATTCATTGCATTAGAAGTCTGAAATATGATCAGTAAGATGATGGATCTATGGCCAAAGTAGAATATCTTTCAACCATAGGTGACAAAAACCAGTGAGGTGAGAATTGGGTGATGCAATGCCTGCAACTTGGGCTTTCCCCCAAGTACCCTTTTTTTTTTTACATTAAAATGTCCTCCATGAAGACAAATGTGAAATCTAGGGTTTACCTCATTTTTCAGTGATTTCCACTTCTGCTTATATTGGATGTTCTCTCAAGTAATAACTACTTTTGTTTCCATTATCACTTCAATTTGTAAATGCATGTGGTCACGATAAAATTGGTTATGATAATGCTGGTAGTGATCATGTCATTGCCATTGGCAAAACAACAGAGCAGAATGGTGTTGTGTTCTTTGGACATCAACATTTTGTGAAAATAAAATGGCTTGCAAAAAGTATTATATTGTCTCCACATGAACTTTTGAAAGTCACTGCTTCAGTGACATCAAGACAAGGCACTAGCACTGCAAGGGGCCCTTTATGAAGCCAATACTGTAGTGATGATAATGACAGTGGCTAAGATTCTGACTTTATTCCCACCCTGAATGCCTATTACAGGAGGTTTGGCTAGTCTGATTATAAATGAAGCTGAGGAATTCTCATACATCCATGCAGCAGATCCCAAGAGCCTGCAACTCAAGTGTTTTTCCAAGTTCCATTTTACACTAGACAGAAATGGCAACTGCATAACGATGCTTCCCAGTTGTCACGAAACAGAATGAAGAATCCTGAGAATTGGATAGTCTTAAAACTATTAAATATCCACGTACAACAAGATAAGGAACATCATCTAGTTATTTTATGCAAACACCAGATGTTGCAGAAAGCCACACACTGAACTGAAATTAGATGATTTGACTTCACTTGAAAGATTATCATACCTCTCAGCTTACAGTAAAAATTCAAGCATGACAGCAGATTCTACTCAAATCCTCAGCAATTAATCCAACATAGAAAAGTGATGTTGCAAAATAAGTAAACAAAATTTGCAAAAGTCAACAGAAGTTTGGCAGATTCTCATTGTATGCCAACATGGAATGACTCAGCACAAAGTCAGCATGGATAACTGAAGTAAGATTGAGCCCCACATAGGCATTAGTCTCCTGTGATTGAGCAACTTTCAAGTCCAGATCATTCAACTGGATGACCACAAATTCCAATATAAATGAGAGAATAAAAATTAGCAAGTTTGATTTCTGCAACTTGCTAGGGAAGGTGTGGTGAAGCCCAAAGTGTCTGCAGTCAAAGAAGCTCAAACTGAATATTGGGACAATATGTTCATGAACCCTAACTCTTCTAACAATTGGAATTAATCAAAGACTCAGTTTTAAATTAAATCACAATTAAGCACCCTCTCCAGTTGGAATAACATTCAAGCCGAAAAATTAAGCAAATAAAAGGAACTTGAAATAAATGAAACCAATAAGCAGAAAAATTAAATAACTTATTCTTACCCCACTTGGACATCAACTACTAACCCAATGAACTTTGAAACGGACAAAATGTAACTAATATTCACATTCCAGGCATAATCAAGATTCCATGTCAATGATCATCTTCATGGTCATCTCCATTTGCCTGCTATAGACTTAACTGGGGTCTGAAAGTGCTTTTCTAAGAGATCTAAATAAGTTTCAGTCATTAGGATTTAATGATCCTGGAGATGACAGCAGCCATGCATTAGCAACATGAATGGTTTTACATTTTCCTAACATAATATAATCCAACTCTTTTTCCCCAGAGAATATGGGAAGGCTGAGTAAAGGGAGAGACAAAGAATATTTGTTTGGTATAGTATATTACAAATGGATTCTGTGCTATAATTATTGATGAATGGGAATTCCTCAACTGGGGCTATATATGCCATATTAAATAACCAAACAAAGGCATCATATTCAAGGAATTTATTTCCTTGAACTCCTATTTCTTAATACTTTGACTACCAAGGCTGCTATTGGGTGCTGCTTTTGACATGCCAGCATGTCATATGGCAGTCAATGTGTTAAATCATATTGCACTTCATAAACTTATTGGTTATACCTCAAACAATTCCAATAATAGCTCCGTTAATTGCTTTTATATAAGAAACTCTTTCAGTGTGGAATTGTTTGGAGGTTAAATCATTCACTTCTTGGGTATAATTAATACTATTGTGTGAAATTCAAAGAGACAGTAGATGTGTACCAAATATGAGATGAACTCCATCATTTAAGTTCAGAATAAGTGGATGGCATTTGGCAAGAAAGATAACAGAACAAGTTCATTATGAAAAGGACTCAGACTTTTGAAAGGACAATACCATTTTCAAGAAATCTAAACTACTCCAAATGTGTCAAGTTTTAGAGGAAATTTCTAAGGAATTGTAATCAATACAAAAATCTCCTTCAATGATTGAAAGAAGGAATCATTCATTTGACCATAAATAACTTGAATGAGGGAAGAATATCACAGGTCATTGCCAGGAGATGGAACTTTTCAGGCATCATAGATACAATGATCCATCAGCAGGTCCAAGGTAGCGGATGCCAATCAATATGACATCAACAATTGTCCAAATTCCCAATCCTCCAAAGCTGAAGAGCTTCCCTATCCCCTCCTGCCAATGCCCTAAGTAGAACCTGCAATAAGGGAAGAAAATGATTTTACTTGTCTGTCTTCAGATACATTTTCCTTTTTTTGAGTTGCCTCTCCTTGAGAAATAGGTTGTTCCCTATGTTTCTGCATGCCTACATGCAAAGCTTAAGTCATTGTTAGTGGTACAGTACTTATATTCCTTTAGGTTTCTCCAAATTTTCTCAAGAAGTGAAAAACATAAGCCAGAAAAAAATTCCTGGAAATGATCCCCTCTTTCTTTACCCTAATCCCCCCAGTCCCCATCACCTTCATGCATACAGTACCAAGGCATCATCTTCCTGTTTCCCCACTCCCCACTTCTTTCATCATACTAAGCATAATATTCCCACTATTTTTCCTTCATCACCTCTGGAGATACACATATGATTCATTATGAGACTGGGCTTTTTACCCAACATGCACCTTTTGTTCTGGTATGTAAGCTTACCTGTCAGCTCCAAAACCTCCAAGAGTGACGCTGAGAGCCAATGCAACAGGCCAGCGATACCCACTGGTCCAGTTGCAAGGAACATTCTTGGGGAAGGTCCTCCTTCCAAGGCAGAGGACATCTCGCTTCACTGTGCAATTAGCCCTGTACATCTGTCGAGGTGATGTTGCTGCATTGCAGCTGACCATCCCAGAGCAGTCATGCAAATAGCCAGGGGTCTGATAACAGTACTGGCACACAAACTCCCGTTCCAATGTTTGATTTCCCTGAGAATGAGGAAACTGATGAAGCTCAATAGCCCAGAGGATGACAATATAATTTGTCACAATAGAAACTTAAACCATGCTAAAATCAGGAGAGAAGAATATTCACTGAAGTAGCCAAAAGGCCTCAAAAAGGTTCTTCTAACTTCTCATTAAAATTGCTCCCAACTAGAGTTATCACCAGTCTTAAAGGGAATTCCAAAAAAAAATCACACAAAACAGATAACTAATGACCTTAACGTATGTGTACTTGTAAGAAAGGACTTACAGTGCATGAGACTGCAGGTTTAGGGGTGCATATGACTGAAACCATTGCACCATACACACACGAAGTGTTAAATTGACACTCAAAACAGTCAGCCATCAACTCGGAGCATGGCATACCCTCTGGACAATCTAAATTCACCTGCGGATAAGAAAGCCTCTGCATTGTCAAGAAAATGTTTTCCACATGAAGAACAACATGACCAATAAACATGAGGTTTAAACATTCTACAGCATTTGCCATGGGATACATTAGAAACATTCTGAGAGGGAAAAATACAGTGAACAGAAGTGCAGTGTAGGCTACTAGTGGATAGAATGAACTTGAATAACTGAGATTCTCAACACCAGCATGTTTAAACACAACAGATGACAGCAGCTCCAAACCTACATGCAAATGAGCAATGGTAATTTCAAGCACAGGCATTGAAATTGCTGCCACGGGGGCTACAATTGCTTAACATACATGAAATTCCTCACATTAATAGCAAATTGTGCCCTTATTCAATTAATACAAAATCTTTTCTACTTGTAATATTATACAGAGCCCTGACATAATAATTTGGCCACCTTTTATTAAAATATTTAGTTTGGTGCAGGAAAAGACAAATAAAGACAATCAAATGTGATTCTCTATTTTAGTAATTTTCTAGTCACATTTTGCAGCACAAAGAGGATTTACAATTTTTGGCATCATATTGAGATTTTGCATCATTGTCTGGTCCAGACTCCCCCACATCCAAGTAAGAGTTCCTTCTAAATTCACAATATGGGAGGGAATTGAAAGGGTTACTCTCAGCGAAAAATCAACATGCTCCCAAGGGTGCTCAAAAGGATTCATATTTGGGCTCTGGGGTACCCATAAAAGAAGTTGAATGCCTTGATTCCTCTTCTAGATGGTGGTCACCAGAGAGGTTTAGGATGTAGTGCTATCCTCTTGAAAAATATAGAAATTGAGGTTTATTAGGGTTAATGGGTATGGGGGGATCCACTTGTTTTCAGCATGGTGATAGTATACACTAATTATCTGCCAACTTACAACTTATACATCCTATTACACTAAATCATATGCGAAATGGAGAAGGTTATGTTATATGTATTCATTTAGAGGAGGCAAAATTATTATGCCAGGACTTAGTACTTACTGCAAAACACATTTCATCAGGGATAAAATATTTATTTTTTTCATCACCATGGACAATAAACAATTGATTCATAACAATGCATCAGCAAAACAAACCATAGATAATAAATTACTTTGCCTCCTTACATGTTTTTCTTCTAGGTTGCTGATGATACAATACTCCTGAGAGACTTGTGAAGATAGTCATTCAAGCCAAAACAACTGATTGAAGGCAGGTTAATTATTATTTCTCTTGGGACACAGAAGCAGTTAGATTTTCAAATGTAACAAAGAGTGAGAAGTAACAAATTTCTGGCAGATTTATAGGTGGGACAAAAAAGGGACTTCATCTGAACTACTTAGTGAAATAAAAAATAAGCAAACATGGGGGGGTATGTCAGGCCTGTAGATCATATTTATGCCAACTTAAAACTTAATATCTGAATTGGGTTGTAAATAGATTAGAAGAAAAACAAGCATAGAAAGAATTTAAATTACATTCAATGTAGTACTTACTGTTTTACACAACTGACTCAGCTGTCTCGGAAGAGTAAAGGGCCAAATGCAAAAGGAGCCTGTCCTTATGCAGTAACAACATATTAACTTGATGCTGGGATTAAATAATTTGCTATGCCATGAATATACATGATGTTTGTATTTAAACGTAACATAGGAACATTTTTGCTACCTATTTGTGGAGTTCAGGGCCTGCCTTACAGCTCAACAGGTCACATATCTAGAAGGATGAAACCTATACTTGGTGTGTTTCATGGCAGAAATGCAACCCAGTGGGCCTTATAGCATTTGCTGAAGTCCATCTACAAGCAGTAAAACATTCCCTATGTTGCATTTAAATATGAACACCCTGTATACCCTTCCAATAGGATGCTGCTTGTGAATTACAATGATGGGATTGGGTCATTGTGGATTGGTACTAAATTTGCAGTTCAGGAAGGGAGTACACTGTTTCATCCTGAGATCACTCTCTACAGATTCAGCCCTTCCCACAAGGTTAGTCTCTAGACATGAATTTCATGGAGGACATCTGTCATAGATCTCACATTAAGTCACTAAGTTGCCTCAAAAAAAAATTCCACTAGTTTCCATGGAACTCACATTGCCTGAACTTCTGGGTGGCGGTATCTTGTTGGGTTTGCTTGCTCTTCTTATCTCTTCCTCAAAGGCACCAGTAGTTTTGCGAGATATTCCTGAAAGCAATGCAACAAATGCACTAATGATGATGAAAACCAAAAATACACATTTCAATAAAGATTGGCACAAGGAACGTTCTGGAGGTAGTTTATTCCACATAAACTTAGCTATACACTAAGCTAGTTTTAGAAGTTTCTGATTGTGATCAACACCTTTGCGATTTGAACATTCACTTCAGCCCTGGGACAAACCATAGACCTTATAATAAAAAGACTGAACACTCTATAGCAGTGACTTTGATATTGGGAAAGCTATCTGCCCTTGTGGTTGGTCCTAGCCCTACACAAAGCTACCTAATAGGATTATTGAATTGGAATGACATGAAAAATGGCTTCCAGATTGCAATACTGCTCATACATTCCATGCAATGAGCAATTTGGCTGAATATATGGAGAGATTTCATTACATCAGTTCCCAAAGGATCCTGAAAGGCATGCACAAATGTTCACTATGAATTTACAAGAGGCCTAAGGTCTTCAAGGAGATTTAACACACTTTCAACCTTACACTTGCACACAAGAAGTATGCACCTCACCTCCCATATTTGATTCAGCATAGACCTATCAAATTCTCAACTTTGCAGGGATGCTTTCTCAATGATTCTCATTTAACCTTAACTTGAACACTCATGAGCAGACATCCTAGGTCTACTTTTTCACTTGAGTCAGACAGTTTTTCACTTAGGCCCTGGGGGAAGGGCTCAACTTCAGATCATCTTCACGCTCCCCAGAGCTGATGATTAGAGCTTTTCTTGCAAAGATCTGAGTTTTCCAAATGACTTCATATCACATTTAACTTGGCACCCAAGAGCTTGGCCTGGCCTAGACCCAATAGCCAATAGCCAGAAAGATACCCTCACCTCCTTGGATGCACCATACATATAACCATGAACCTAATAAAAGATGGTACATACTCATTCTAGAATTAGCACTCTACCCCAGGATGAAAGACTGCCATTGCTGTTAACCCTCAAAGCCAAGGGTGTGCAGTCTTCTTAGTTTAAGGTCTTCGGGACAAACTGTCATGAGGAACTAACTGATCCAAACTAATAAAGAAATAAAGAATAATAAAGAAAATGAAACTAATAGCAAATAATAATAAGATTAATGACTTACATTTTCATACTACTATCACCTGGCATTATGTATGTTGGATGTCATGTGCACAAGAGCACGAAACTTGCATGTCAGCAACTATTCTTAGCATGTACAAGATAGTAATAAACTACTACCTTTTGCAGCCCATTTTATTTGTAACGCTACAGAGATTGTCAGACAATATCCAACAATGGACTGCAAAGCATTACAAGTTCAATTGTAACAAAGAATATTAAAATATATCATGTAAAAAAAAGTGGTTGCAAACCTTCAACACTTCAGAACAGAAATCAGAGACTTCTTACTTCTGTTCTGAAGCATTAAAGCTCAGCGCAACAGAATCACACCACTGAGAAAGTAGGAAAGATATTCTCCTGCTTCTTGCCATGTCTTGCTACTAGAGTAAAACCCCCTAAAAAGATGTTATGAATGACACCTGGGCTACCACAAATTCAAAATCAACATAGAACCTACTTGGTTACTGATTCATTTGGGCGATGGGTAATTACGCATGAGGAGTGGTCTAATGTTTGATGTCACTCTGAGATCATAAAGAGAAAAAAATAACCCTGCTGATATGCAGATGATGGTAAAATACGACAGTGATAGGCCTATCACACCCTATACTCATGTCAGATGGACAATGTAGACTAACCCTACGTTAGTCTAGCAATGATAGCCACAATTTAACCGTACAGTTTGTGAATGGGACCCACCTGTTTTTTCGTCAGCAGTGGTGGAGGGATTCTGCCTCTGGCCCAAGTCGATATTGTTCCCAGCGAGAACCACTCCCAGACCACACGCTAACACTACCACTAACCCTGCGGACACGTCGAACATCACAGCAGGCACAGGCCTCGCACACGACATGACTTCCGAGGTCCCAACGAGCTCAACATCCCATCACACTCCCTCGAGAATAAGTGCCAGGGTAAAGGAGTCGCCCATGACAGTAGTAGATTTGGCGCATGCGCCAATCATTTCAAACAAATCACTTGGTACTCGGAAAGGAAAGATGCGAGGAAACTGGCATGTTGTCACACATCTTTCGACACTCGATACTTTTTTAAACGTAGATCAGTATTTATTGCATACTTGCACGATTCTGAGGTATTCACTCGACCCCATCAAATACTCATTTCAAGGGTATCTGCGGAAATTATGGACAATATCCAGTCCGCACTTGTGGACCAGAGTGACAAGTGTATCCCGTACACAGCCCAACAATGACAGCCAACTAATCACAAACAACGGTAGGCAACATCATTCCCTCGATAATGGCGTTTCCCATCCAGGCTCTACAGCACCAAGCAAAGTTCGTCATTTCAATCCTCCCCTTTGAAGAGTAGTCCCAGATAACACGTTACGTTGAGCCCACATTGCATAAAGGTGGGAAACGTTGGCGGAACGTGAATGTTGGGGAACGATGTTGGCCCCATGTGGGCCCAACGTGGGCGTATCCACGCGTTGAAAATAACTACAGCACTCCAGGTGGAGAACTTCAAAACCTTGAAGTTCATCGCCAGGCCACTAGATTTAGGTATTGGGTCTCGCTTTTCGCACAGCACGCAAAAGCTCCCTTCCCTCTTTCCCTGGAATCGTCCTTCGCAGGATTGTTTAGTATCTCGCCATGTGTCTGACCTAGTCTCATTATAGAAATCAATAAGCGCGGACATTTCATCATTTGTCATCCACTTATTCAAGACAGATTCATGGAGCTCAGGACATAAACAAACTTATATTCCCGAGGAGAATCCTTTTGAAAGAGAGTAGTGTTTCATTCGAAAAGGAGATCTGAAATGCATCCGTGGAAAGCATCCGTGAACTCAATTCCGCCATTTCCTCATCACCATGGCAGAAGGAGGAAATGAAGGACTGGTATTGCGGATATATCATGAAACTGTACGAGGTGGTTCGTCCTCTGACACGTACCGTAATCAGTTCATTCATGGGGAAGGTCCATGTCTGTACTGTCCTATGTCTCCTGCCTATCAGGGTATACAGATACTCGTATATACATGTCCTTGATAGGTTTTAGTACATAGTACAGGTTTCGTACTAGAGATGGGAATCCACTGGATAGGGAATTTAAGTATATGGTAAGAAATGATGATGATATAGAGCCAAAACCAGCTACTTGGGTAAGTGGATTATACGTTGTTATCCAACTTTCTGCCAACGTTGGCCCCACGTTGGCCCAACGGTCACTTTTACATGGGGCCTACGTGATCAACCAACGTTGGGTCAACGTATCCTGGCGTTGGAGGACCACGTTGGGCCAACGTGGACCCTACGAAAAATTTTATCTGGGGGTGTATCAGGTGACCAGATTTCTATGTCTCGAAAGCGGGACGAACAATAAATACTTCCCTTGCCTCTTGAAAAAGAATATGAATGTATTTGTAGCATTGAAAATTATATTTATTATTGTTAAAATACCAACTAGTACTGGTATTAAAACTGCAAGTTCAATGGGAGGACACGGGGACAGGTGGCTTGAAAGGTACGAAGGGTAGATGAAAATTGACCCCCCTAGAATCAAATTCTGGCTTATAATTTTTGTAGAGGACCCCAAGGGAGGGCCTTGAAGCCACTTTTTGGCACTCTCAGGTCAAGCACC